GACTCTCTTTTAACAGTTTCAGGGTTTTTATTGAAAGCTTAAAACAAACTAGTTGCAACTTGCAAAAAACACCCCACACAGCCCAAACCAATGAAAAGCCAAAATACAACCAGGTAGAAGAAATAATAATAATAATAATAATAATAATAAACAATAATAATACTTTATGTAGTGCTTTAAAAGGTACTCAAAGGCACTTTACATGGTAACAAAACAACAATAACTGGAACAGCAAAGGCAATATCAGCAAGTTGGGAGTCCAAATATGATTTTTCTAGCAATTTCCTATCTGCACTTTTTCTTTACTGCTCGTCCATCAGTTTGCAGGTTATTCAAGGTTTCCAGTCTTTCAGCCAGCTTTGCAAAATAAAAGGTGAGCAGAGTGGGGAAAAAATGGGAGGGATGCTTACTGTGTGCATTATTTGTGTACACAGAGCACATGTCAGATTTCAGGACATCCTGAGTTTGCTCTGTTGGGTGTGATGAGGTTCATCTTCATGCTCTGTTTTATCTCATCAGATCCCTGTGTGGCATGACAGTGCAACGGTGTGGGGATTAATCAAACCTGTGTTGGAAGGAATTAATTTTGATTGGATTCATTAATGTTTTAACAATTGCGGTGTGTGAGTTTTCTCTGGATCCATGTTTCTCTGTTGACCCATCAGAAAAAAACAACATCAACCCCCCCAGCAGTGCAGAACAAGACAATTTGATCTCACCAACATCATTGTTGAGTTGAAAGCATAGACATTTTACGCTCCTATTCAGCCGTAGAACAAACTGCATGCTTTAGTAGCCAAACAACAACTGGAATCCAATAAAGCTACAATATGAGGATAAACAGCTGAGCAGTAAAAATAGGATCTCCAACAAATGATCCCCTGTCTTCTTACTGAACTGCATACATGCTGCTTTAAACTGATAGCTCAAATATTTATGTTTGGCAAAGTGTACTAAAGCTTCTAGTGACGTTTAGATTGCTCGAATTCAAGTCTGTGAAAATTGTGGAAGATTTCACATCAGTGCAGAACAGACCTTCACAATAAGTGTATTCATGGCTTATCTCAGCAAGAAAAATGTTTTCTAGTGGTGCTGCTGGTTAACTGAGGGCAACTAGTTGCTGAAAGCCCTATCCTTTCAAAAATCTGTTAGTGGTGACTAAAAATCTGCTGTTTCTAATAAAAAGTAGCGCTAGCTTATGAATACACTTGTATTGACATTTTAATGGTGTCTGGGATAAATGAACTTCAAACTGTTCTCAGTCAGTGTTGATAGTCTGTGTTGCTACATACCAACAAAAGCAGATGTATTTAACCTTAAGCCATGGCAGGCTGACAGAGCACATTTTCTCTTTTTCAGCAAAACCTTCTCCTAACTCGTACAGTTGCACACATTATCTGGTAGCTGCCCAGTTAAACCATTTTTTTCATTCTTGGCTGCTGAGCAGCTCCGTTGAAGCAGTTTGGGAAGCGCAACAGAGGGGATCAAGAGCACCAGAATAGTCACTGAGAGTGTTTTACTCATTCAGTTCTCCCAGGGAGATCTTTTTCATCCTGTGTGAGGACTAAAACCAGTGACCTTCAAAGCACATTCTCGTTTCTCTGATCTGTAGGCTCTCGTCACTCTCTGCCACATATTTGACAACAATGATAGTAGAGTGAGCGTTTCTCCAGATTTATATATTGTAAGCTCATTTCCTCTTTTTCTCTCCCCTTCTCCGTCTCTCATTCTCTCTTCTTTCTAACACACACAATGTTCTTCTGAGTTCACTGGCAGCCTGCAGACGAGAATAAAGGTGTTTCCCATTATGCACTGTTCCAGAGAAAAATCATCTTCATGGGCTATAAAAACATCATTATTTTATTCAAATGATATGAACACTGTACCCGTTTGAAAGTAAAACACCTCACAATATGAACATAGCCCAAAACAAATTCTCTCCCTGATGCAGGAGTCCAGAACTAATCTTTGTGGATATCGAGAAACAAATGCTCGGTGAAACCTGGAAATTGGACTTTAAAATGAGTACAAAACGAACTTTTAAATCCAAATGAGCTTTATTTGATGGTGTGACTGTGACAAATACACATGAAAATGTACTCAAATGACCAAAACTTTAACAAGAGTCTGCAACAACAAGTCCTTGAAATGAAACAACAAAATATGATATTTGTCCAGCAGAATATCAGCAGGATCACATAATTAGTCTGTGAACTCCAAAACAGTTACAAATCACTGCTGAAAAAAAAAATCCATTTTAAGATGTGACAGTGCTAAAAGTAAGGTTGAAATCAATTTAAAACACAAAAAAGCTTGGTTAGGTTTGGGTTTGGGTTCAAATAATCACTTTGTTAAGGTTAGGGGACCTTTGTCGTCACGGTTACAATAATAACCGCGTGGTTAAGGTACATCGTGGTCATGGTTGAAAGAAACCAGCATTGACTGTCTCACGTGTTAAGGTCCATTGTTTTATTGACCCTTCATCCACCCAAACCTTTCCTGTATGTAGACTTTGTGGTTATATATTAATGTCACACTGCCTCCACCTTTGCTCATAATTCCTGCGGCCGTTAGAGGGCTTTGTCACTTGAACATACACATTTGTTCTTGGGATGACAGTCCCAGCTAGCAGCTTTTTGAAGCTGTATATGAGCATAAATGTGCTTTGAACTTGAAATACTCATGTCATCTTGCAAAGCAATATTTATCAGGTTGACTGTTGTGTTAGCAATAAAATCAGTAGTTTTTCTGGTATTTGGCCAAAAACCAAAGAAACCAAAGTGACATTTTTACCTGATGATGGCAAAAGGTCAAGGGGACACCAAAGTAGTTAGAATTCATCCTATGGGGACCATGAATGCAGCATTTTATGGCAATCCATCCATTAGTTGAGTGTCTGGATTAAAGTGGTAGACCGACTGACCAACATCCCCAGAGCTCCACCACCAGCATGGCTAAAAACATTTATGTATATATGCTGTATTTATATTTTCAGCTGGTTACAGTACCCTGTCTACAAAGCAGAGTAGAGCTATTTCAACATATGCATGTGTTTGCACACCACAGGTTGATTTATCTCCTCAGGCATGCCACATACTGTAAATGCTATTTTGGAAGTGCCTGCCATCCTGGGACACCTGTCTTGTGTGAATATGTCACATAAGGAGGTGTGAATCACCCGAGTTGATGGGAATAAAAGGTTAAAGGGGTCTTTAAATGTGTTTACCTGTGATTTCAGCAAGAGGTTTCAGGCACAGTCTGTACCCAGTGGCAGGCGATGCTGGTGGGAGTGAGCATTTCCAATTCACAGAGTTCACTTGGTTTATACAGTCCTTTTCATTACAGCTTAATTGTCAGGTGTGAAAATACACTTGTGTATGTTTTTGACACAAGCCTAACTGATTTGATGAAATAATAGTGTCTGATTTCAGTGTTCCAATTTAAAGGATCTTCCTCGGACAATCGGGCACAATCAGAGAGATTGTGTCACACTGGAAGAAGTCGGTGCATTTCAAGCCGTTGGAGTTTGGTCTGTGATTTCACAGACAATAGCAATATCAAACAAATTACCTTAATTCATGGTGTAAAACTGAAACCACTGGCCATAAGAAACTATAATGAGTGAATATTGGAACTGCCTGGAACAGAGGCATCATTAAGCTGGAGTTATATATGTCCAGAAGGTCACATCAAGGAAAAGTCTCAGAAGAACCCTTCTCTGGGAACATAAACCAGAATAATTTTCGAACAAGGCAATTAAATTTACACTCAAACTGATAACTAGTCAAATTCTGGGATGTTTAACATGGATGTTAGGTTGGATTCAGCCGCTTATGAGGACATGTTTCTGTCCTTCCTTAGTGAACATTTGCAAAATGAGAAAAATGCCTCAATTCAAAAACAATACCTTGTTCAGGGATAAAACATTTATTTGTCTGAACTTCTGCTCTGTAATGAAACGTGCACTGTTTTTAACCTCACAGCTTTGTCAACTGAGTGTTGACAGCTCAGATAAGGGTGAAGTGCTCCAGTCTAAATTAACTCTTGAGTTTTAATATAGCAGCTCAGGAGGGGTCGGTGACTCGTTCTCGGCCTTGTTTAGGAACATCTTTTATTGTCCAGCGAGTGTGCTGCAGACTGATAGTTGTAATTCCACTGAGTATTAATTAGCGACAGAGGAGGATCCCCACTAGGTGAACAACAGATAGCTTCATTTCTACAGCATTTAATGTATTGTGAGTGTTTCAGGTCAAGTGCTATAAAATGCATCAATCAAGAAACATCACTATTCAGGGTGTTAAGGGACTGCGCTCCTGTCAAGCTAAACCAAACCGTTAATATCCACCTCTCATCTCTCATCTTATTTCAATAAGGCTGGGGACACACAAGAGGACTATTGGGCCAATTTGCACAAGATTTGCCCATCTTGCAAACTATAAGGATAAATACTGCGGTTTGATTGGAAGCAATGATCTGATCTTAATATGAAAGTTCACAGATCTAATCTTATCCACCCCAATTGACTTTTACCCGATAATATCAAACGTTTTACATGTTTAATCCACCATCTGCTTAAGTCCTGTGCTGTGTGGGGATCAGAGACTGCTGACAGCCCACAAGAGCTCAGTTTGCAGTGAAGTGAGGCACAGCGAGCTGAGTGTGACTGTTTGCCTCTGTTGTTATTTTGATTGGAATTACTGGATCATGAGATTACAGGGCCCGATGTAAAAGGACGTATCAGGAGTCAGCGGGATAATCTCTTATCATTAAGTTTGCAATGTGAGCACATTTACAGCTGTGACACAGAATGATCAGCAAAATATTCACCGTGTGATGCAATGCATAGTTAAATTTCTCCTAATGTGTCCCCAGCTGAACATTACACTGTTTGGTTGTCATGCTGCTCCAAAGCAGACTTCAAGATCTTGACTGATGCTTTTTCAGTTACATAACAAACTAATTATCTTCTTATCTGTTTTTTTTATTTTGTTTCTCTGCAGAGATTGAAAAGTATGAAGGTGATGAATTGAGAAAAGATGGTGACATGAAGAAATACCTCGATATCATCAGCAATAAAAATATCAAGCTCTCCGAAAGAGTCCTCATTCCAGCCCAACAGTATCCAAAGGTAAGCGACACAAAAACCACGTCGTAGCCTAAGACAACACACTGCACCTCTTTAGTGTCCTTTATTTTATGACTACAACAGTTAAACTGCAAGGCAAGATGGAGGAGGAGCGAACACTGAGCTTGTGTGCGTGTGATATTCTTTCATTAATTTTAGTTGTCAATCAGTGCATGGGGCCTCTTTGTCTGCTAGCTTCACCTGCTCCACTCTTTGCACAAATACTTTTTGGCACGGAAAATCCCACTGAGCCTCAAACAGGCTAATAGAAAGTCATCAGGCAGTGTCTGTTTATTTTGATGTAGTCATCAAAAAAGAAAAGTTTTCAGTGCACTAAAGCACTCAAGGGTACGGTGAAGAACAATGACCATAAATCACTGTATGACACAGTACGCGTTATTCTGAGCTATGCCAATGTCAGTACTGACAAAGTTTGAAATGTAGCCTAATGAGGCTGCTCCATCAGGCAGCTAAGCAACAGCACACAGCTGCTTGTGGAGAACCAAAAGGCTTTACTGCCACTGTAATCAAGGAAAGCTGCTCTACTGACTTTGCATTCACACATTCATGCAACAGGCAGCGAAGAATAATGGCATCAGTGTAGCAACACAGATTGCAACAGAACATATTTCCACATAGTATATAGATTATTTGTCCCGGTCTGATAGTACAGTATATACTGCATTTGATTTGTAACTGTAGGTAGACAAGCAAATCAATGTCAGTACCAGATCACGTGTACATACATCTATACGGAGAGTGATAAAAAATATTGTGTTTCCTTCTATGCTTTACTGTCTGTATCATTTTCATTTAAACACAGTTTATCTCTATGTCCAGTTCTCAGGTTGATATGTTATTCATTACATTCATAGCATATGTTTCAAGTGATTTATCAAGTTGACAGTAAAGATTAAAATGAGTTCTTCATCTGTGTTGCTTTTTGTTAGAATTTTAAATTTTTATTAAACTCTTTAAAATCGTGTCTGAAAGTATGTTATTCATTTTGAGATAAATGATAAAACTGTTATGTCAGAATAACACTGTAAAACCTCCAACGCTCCAAATAAAGCAAGTATATTACAGTCATATGCTGCATTTCTCTAAACTTCAACAATTCATTTTTGAGTTTTGTTTAATTCATGGGACAACACAATACAATGAAAAGATACACATGAAAATTATATTCCATTTCTGCCTATAGATCCTCCGAAATCTTATACACTGGACTTTTAAATGTTTTTGCTGATGCATCTTGGGGGTTGCAAACGTCTATCCACCGAATCTGATGATAAGTTTTGGTGGGATCTAGCCAGCACCTCCTATCATATAAAACCTGCAGGGCTCCCTTCTTCTTTAGACCAACACTTTTTTGTCTCCCAGCACTCAGTTAGAAATGAGTCATTTCTGGTCACTTTTTCTCTTGTCCCTCAGAGTGCTCAGTACGGCAGTTCCTCAGCAAAACACAGACATGTTCATTTGTTAGTCTTTGTCCTGCACACTCTCATGTCAACTTCCTTTCAACATCCTGTTTCATGATCTCACAGCTCTTTAATGGGACTGCACTGTAAAGTTGGCACATCTCTTTAAACAATTAACATTAATATGATGTTTTAAATGTAGTTGTACTGATTTTGTCTGTCTCATTAGAGAGAGACTAGAGAAAAGAGGATGTCAGGAGGACAGAGGAACATTAAACCGTGTTTCAGGAGTACAGGCACTGTACTTTAGTCCAGCGAGCCCCTCAGGACACTCCATAGAAATCAATTTGCTGTTTCCTCCTCAGGATCAGTGTTGAGAAAGTAATTAAGCTGTGTTCAGGAACTCCTCACTCTATTAAACTGATTTTAAATCTATAAAAAATGCCAATTGACTCAGTTTCTTGGGAGTAGAAGACCCACAATGAACCAGGGATATCTTTCTTTCCTTGTGTTTCTGCCTCATTAACACCATTTTCTGTGTTAGACCACTTTTTACTCAAAATTACTTCCTAATTGTGAACACTGCACAGCACACTTACTGTATGTGAGGCTAGATATGAAAAGGCTGAGACTTCCAGCAATATTTGTATCAGCAATAGGGTTAATACTAAAGGGGGTTAGGGTTAGAATAGAGATGAAGTTGTATGTACAAACAGTATCTGAACTATAGGCATCCATTAGTTAAAACATTTGAGACTCAAATTGAACAGCCATATCTTCTCTCACAAATCAATGCCAAGCATACTGATTTAATGGACTACAAATTAGGATTAAAATGAAAAGATTGTACATAGACTACTCGGTTTCTATCCTACCTGCTGGTTAATTGCATTCACCTGGGGTTCCATACGTGTGTCAGCTCCTGTTTGGACGGTTAATGAAAAATGGTGTGGAGCCTGGAGAACCTGAGAACTACTCAAATAGATAACCGAGATATTTAAAGGTTATATATATGAGATTTAAAACATTAATATAGCAGCAAACAACTATTTTATATGTAAAGATATAGTGGAGTTATGCTGTCCTGAGCAGAAAATTACATCACACTGTGTTGCCATCGCAGCCTCTGTGTGCTTTGTTTAGCAAAGTCCGCGTGGCTACACGTGCATGTTAACACTCCCTCTGTGTGTGCAACTGACAGTGACTAAAACAGATGTTTTATTCCTCTATGTTGGTGAATTAAGGATTTATTTCAACCAAACCACAGTTGGTGATTGTTGGAACAGTGGATAGACTAACAAAGAGGGTTTGGGTGAGTTTTGTTTTGTTTCTTTTCCACTGAATGAAGTTACAACATTACGATGATATGCAGGGTAAAATTACCATTTCTGTCAATGGAGTCTGGTGGTGAGTGATCCTGTTATTACGGCTGTTTCTGGTTAAACAAAAGGTTTGTCTCCTTTCCATAATGTTGTCAGACAGACACAACAATCAGAAAGCCCGTGAGTGGCAATAACAATAATCGAGTCCCCAAGAATTTGATAATAGCCATTACAACCCATTTTTGCAGCTGTTTTTCCACATCTAACATTATTAAGGAAATTTAGGGTTTATTTCAACCAAACCAGCAATGGTAATTGTTGGAAAGAAAATGGAAAGTAGGTTTTAGCAAGTTTTATTTTGTTTAGTAAATGGAGTCTGGTCCGTTGTAGATCCCATTGGTTTGGTCTATGCTGCTAGTGCAACATAGTGGCAAGTGAATTTCATATATACAACCTTTGTCAACCTTATGTTTATGTCCCGTAACATGTCTGGCCTTGACTATTCTGAGTTGTATCTGTGTTAAGTCTGGCACTAGAGAACTGTTTTCAAATTCCCCCTTCTTGGAACTCTGGTTTCAAAGGTATTTGATAAATAAAGTTTATTAACGACTTACTTTCTAACAACATAAACAAATAAAAGATGCTAACTAAACGTACTATTCTGATACGTCTGCTAGTTACCGATTTTGATGCACAACAGCACCAAACATTTACTTATCTGAGTCTTGGTCTGACTGAGACTCAAACATGTAGGGTATGGCTGCATCTCTCCAATGTTTCTTTTAACGCTAGCCATCTTGATACGTGCTGCTCTTTCATCGGTTAACCTAGCCCATGCAGTAGCCGTGGGCAGTGCATTTATAGATCCAATTTAACAATGAAAGAGAAAGAGAATATGTCCTTTCATCTGCTTTTCAGAGGGTTTTCCTTTCACCTTTATGTGGGGAAAACCATGTTAAATATAATATTAACCATAGCAGAGCATTTTACAATTGTTAAACTGTGTCTGGAGGGGGACCTTTAAGATCATAAACAAAACAATGCACAGGTACAATACACAGGCTCAAAATCCTGTTTCTGTGTAATGAACATAATGGTGCCAGCTCTGCAACGTAAGCAAAGCAGTGCAGTCCAGAGGGATGGAGCAGTTGTCCAACAACAGCTTCTGTGACCTAATTGCACAGTCAGCACCCAACAAGACTGCAGTGTCACTATCTTAAACATCTTGGTAACACTGCACTTTTAGTTAATGGTAATTAGCCACATGAAGCAACTCTTTGATCGAGTGAACAAGAGAGTGAGTGAAAAAAAAAGTAATGCAAAGATGCACAGATTTTTGACACTTACTTGACACAATTTGACAAAGAAATGCTTCTATCTAGACACTTTTCATGTCTAGGCGTAGGTTTGCAGACAAAAATAGCAGTTTTATCTATTATTCTGAATTCCTGACATTACTGCATAAAAGAATGCATATAACATATTGGCTAAAATGCTTTTAACAGCTGCAAGACAGATTAGAGAACACAAATTAATTGTTGTATGGGTTTTCTTTAACACGTATGTAAAAAACAAAATACATTTGTTTTTGGGCTTGAAGAGACATAACCATTTAGACTGGACTTACTGCTTTGAAAAATGTTTGTACATTGTGACAACATAGATATGAATTCTTGCCAGTTTTCGCTGATCAATATATTTGACTTTTTCGTCTGACAACATCTGGCCCTACTGAGAGGCACAAACTAATTGGTTTTTATTCTACTTCACATTGCAACCTCACTTTCTCACATATGCTACTCATTAACGTCCAGTCTTACTTTTTGTCACTGGTGGCACAACAAACTATAAAATGTCATAAATCTGTTCTTTCACGTTTTAGCTGTCTAACAGTGCTCATTCGTGCTTACAGCTGCCATCTTGCTTCACCGTAATTAAATGCAAAGTAATTAAATTATTACTTGGGAGAATTCTTCTGCATGGTTTCGGATTTGACGACGTGACACATGGAAGATTAATGTCCTCTAACAGTGAAACAACCGGTACTGATGAAATCATTCTTTACACACTGACAGACATAAACTGTAGGCTGTCTTCACTGCAGACATTTTGTCCATTTATTTTCATTAATGATGGCTGTATCTTATTGGTCAGTTACAGGGCTCTATTGTGCATCCTGGCTTACTGACCCATTTTAATGTAAGCTCTCATTAATGTCATTAATTCCACATGTGTTTCTCCTGCTATGACAAGTCAAAAT